CTGTATATTAGTAGGGTATATGAAGTTAGTGCGGGCGTATGTAATACGCAGAGGGATTTCAGTTAGATCCATCTTTTGTTATACCATCGGTTTAGAATCATAATCCGAATTGATCTAGGCATGCCTGCCCGTCTGATATCTATCCATATAAAGTCTTCAAGCTACAGGTTGCAATTTTTGAGACATTTTGATCAACAGCGACCTGTTTTGACCCAACGATGAACACTAATGAAAATGGCTTGGATCGGTCTATTTTGTCTGCCACTACTCCCCACAAAAAGCCCAATTATGAAAAGTCGTTATATGGAGAAAAATTTCTCGGCAAAAGTGGCTAAGTGGTAGTATTTCCGCATTCTAAAATGATATGAAAACTTTCGACGATCTGGGGTCAATTTTTGAGCCCCCTCTCATATAACGAAAACTGAAGGTCATACGACAACAATTGAACATAAAAAAGTAGCTGTACTAAATTTAGACTATCTCGATCTATTTTTTGAATCCTATCCTAACAAAGGTTTTCACGAAAGTTGCTCCTTTGTAAAGCAGAAAAGTCCAAGTTTTGCAGAAGTAATGATGAAAATTGACCCATGATAATAATTTCATGCAAAAATAAGAATTCGATTAGACAATGTGGTGTAAGGTATTTATTGGTCGGTTTTGCCCAACTATAATGTTCTTGCTTGTTTGGCACTGACATGATTATTCCGTCGTTATAACACTTCTGCGATTACTGAATTTCTTTCTTTTTTTTTTTTTTTTTTTTTTATAAGCACACTTACTCTTACTAGGTTTGCAGATGATAATCTGGCGTTTATGCATTGGCGATTTTCGTTAAAAAATTTTGAACTATCAATAGCATAACGACAGTTGTTAACACTTCCGATCGTAGTGCGAGTTGTGAGACAAAACTTCTTTTGAATGACTTCAATCGCAATCATAGATTTTATGAATTTCGTTAATGGTGATAAGATGGTTAGAATTTCGATAGTTAGATATATACATATATATTTTTCTTGTAGCAAGTTTTATCTAAATGGTTAAATTATGTTTTTGACGTTTTGCAATTTGAGTGCTAGACATTTTTACATATTTACCGATTTATGCTGGAATGTCTTTCTTGTGAACGCATTTTAGAATGACAATTACGGATATAAAAAAGAGAGAGAGAAAGAAAGAGAGAGAGAGAAAGAAAGAGAGAGAGAGAGAGAAAGAGAGAGAGAGAAAGAGAGAGAAAGAGAGAGAGAGAGAGAGAAGAAACCCACAATGACATTGTCCGTCCATAAATTCGATCGTTTCTGATAATTTTAGTTCTATAAGTTCATTCAAGCATAAGCTTGATCGTCCGTAATATTGCTTGCCAATGAGTTGCTTTGTTCATAAGGTCGTCCGCTTGCTCGCCAATGTCGTCCGTTTGCAATTTGTCCGCCTAAATATTCTCTCTCTTTCTCTCTCTCTCTCTCTCTCTCCCTCTCTCTTTCTCTCCCTCTCTCTGCCGACATAGTTTTCTATATATGTATGTCCGCTCGATTACTTTCTATAAGTTCGCTCTTGTATAGTTTTGCGAAACTATAAAATCGCGTATTCATAAGTTCACCAGTCTACAAGTGCAACCGTTTATAAGATCCCTATCGATACGTTCCGATGTTTATAGATTAGTGTCTCGGCATGTTTGCTCTCCCGTACAATGGCGAATTTACTCCGTCTACGGATGCCTGTTCCCTAATCTCTAAATTCCTTTGTCCAAGTGGTTGTATTTCCCCTTTCTCGCATCTATTCTGTGTAGAATTAAATATGTGCACGTAATTTAAGATTCCCTCTGCCTCTCAAAAGCTCAATTATTTTGAAATTGAAGAAATTTTGGTATCGAATTATTTAACTATCGGAGTACTATACTAACCACTCCGCGGACAGACCTACATTAAAAAAAAAAAAAGCGTCTGAATAATTAGATAACATTTGATGACATTTGTAGCGTTCTATTTAAATAAGTAAATAATAGGGAAGTAGAAAGTTTGTTGCCTTGGTTTTGCGGTACGAAAAACGAGGGATCGATGTGCTCTTGTTGCTTAAGCGTCGAATTTGAGATGAAGTAAAAAATACTTGCTTAACGTGCAGAATAAGTGAAGAATAATATATTTTTCTAATTTTTTCTAAATTTTTTCTTTTTTTTTTCTTTTAAGTTCAATGCGTTTAAGCTTTTAGTCATGAATAAGAATTTTCTGTCATTTCTTATGGCCGGGGTTTTGGGCGGACGTCTTTGTAATTTGACAAATCAAATAAATTTTTTAACATTAATTTACTTCCGATTTCTATGCTGTTACGGTATCTTTAGTTGTTTTTTTTTTTTTTATATTTGTTCTCTTATGTTCCTTTTTAACCGTTACAAATTGATAGTATCTTGAGTTCATTACTGTGCACAAGTTTTAACGGAAAAGGGAGAGAAAGGGAAAATCGCAAAAGCAAGAGATATTCGTTTTAGCCGTTGTTGACCATGGATAACGTTTAAATTTTTAAAATTTAGAGCGGGAGGGGGCGAGGATGAAAAACAAAAAAAGAGAAAAACAACAACAAGCAGACGAGACATCGTAAAAAGTAGTGAAAGAAGAAGCAGAAGAAGAAGAAGAGGAATAGGAAAAGAAATTGATTAAATTCGAAATGCAATAACAGTTCCACTGCAACCAGATGTAATTTTTTCCCGTATCAACAAATTGGCTCTATTCACAATAAGAATGATAGTGAAAAAAAAAAAACAAAAACAAAAAAAAAACACAAGATATTGATACAATTGTTTTGCTACTTAAGTAGGTATTGGAAAAGATTAAGGCGGAATTCGTGTTTCGTTGAATTACTTCGATAACAGTCAAGTTCAACATAAAGCATAGTTTAATCGATTCCTGTCTTAAGCTTATTTATCTTTAATTGATAATAACCAGCATAAGCATGTTGCGGCGAATTACTGATTCCCCTCACACAGCAATAAAATCTGTAAAAATCCTGATGTATTATTTTTCTTTAAAGTTCTTAGATAATCGCGATTAATGTCTTTATTAGATTCTCAGATGAAACCTGAGGCAAGCAGTTATTGTCCAGATATCTAACACTGTATGCAAGCATTTTGTCGGGCAAAGGAGGCCCATTTTCAAAATTTTGTGCGTCAAAATAATCAGGGCAGGAGATGTGCTTCCAGTCTCCCCTATTTTTGACAATTAATGTTGCACTATATGGATGAATCCAGAGAGAGAGAGAGAGAAAGAGAGATAGATAGATAGATAGATAAAGAGAGAGAGAGAAAGAGAGAGAGAGAGAGAGAGAGAGAGAGAGATGGATAGATAGGTAGATATATAGATAGAGAGAGAGAGAGAGACCCTGAGTAACACTAAAGCTGAAGCTTCTCACATTATCGTACTAATTAAAAGTATACTATTACGTATGTCGCATTTATTTCCAGGTGTTACAAAGCTTATGATAAAATCAGCATACACACGCTCGTCGCCTTTGAGGCCTTTGAGTGCTATAATGCAAGTTGAGATTATCTTTAGGTATATAAAGCGAAATTTTCGCATTGAATGCACAGACTTTCCTTATATATAGTGTACGTTGATTGTTTTGTTGCATTGCCGTTAAAAATGACATTTTTAGGTAAGCTTAACGTACGGTTAATTTGTCTTATTTTAAACTTCATAAATTAAATTAAATTAAATTATAAAAAAAATCGTAAATTATTTGCAGTAAAATTTCTAGTTTCCTTTGGAATGTAAAAAGAACTTACGATGGCGATCCTGGTTGTAAAACTTCTAGAAAAGCTAATCGCGTCCATACAAAGTTTTTCGTTTTGCGTCGTCTTTGCCGTTGTGTCAACCACTATTTTTTTGCCGTTTCAATGCGTTATTCTCGTCGAAATGGATATCAATGAGATGTAAGAATTTGTATTTAAAATCAAGGATGTGTAATATATAAATATATATGTAATATATATATATATATGCATATATATTTATATTTGTTTCATAAATATACCTTTAAATGTTTGAAACACTGTACATAATAATAAATGATTAGGGTGTATGTTTGCAAATAATAAACAAAAACAAAAAAATATCCAACTTATATTTTTGTTAGAAAGGAATTTTGATTTCCCACAGAATGTTCAGATTTATTTTTTTTTCTTATGATAATAAGCAGAAGTTCGGCTTGCGTATGCTTTAGGAAGCAAGATGTTAAGATTTTTCAAAAACTCTTTAGATCCAGTGTTATCCTATTTTACACTCTGAATCAAATTGCTTAAGAAGATATATATATATATGTAAGTAGTAGTATATAAGCGGCTTGCGGTTACTCTACTTCAATCGCTCAAGACATTGGTATACGAAATCCTTTACTTTTTCCCTATAAGAGTATTACTTATATCTGTTAAGCTATTGATATATAAGATGTATTTTATATTTAATCAAACAATATGCACATGATCTCCCATAAAATAGATTCACTCTTTTAATTGCGAATGCTTAGGTGAGTCATAGTAGTCAACACTTGATTTCCTTAGAAGTTAGGTTTGAGTGGTTTTGTTTGATTTGTTTTTAATGAAATCAAGTGATTCTCAAATTGTTTCTCAAAAAGGTACTGTGCACGTTCCAAAAGGAAAAAATAGTCGATGCTCAGTCTATGTGTCCAGGGTTTCAATCACGAAGTCCTGTACAAAAGGAAAGAAAATTAAATTTTTTCTCGCAAACAGAGGAAGAATGCACAATAACTTATACATCACTTATATAAGATTTTTACCTATTATCGGATCACAATGTCTCTTTGAGTCACATTTGATTTTTGAAGTAATATTTTTTGATTATTTTATATTGCATTTCCCAGAAAAATATATAAAACACAGTTCGTATGTAACATCATATATATATATATATATATAAATGAATTTGAGCTATAAACCAACAATAATAACCATAGCTTCATCATTCCTATGACTCTCACAAGTGCCTGAAAACAAAACAATATTTTGTTACGGTCATGGAAAAATTTGTATATTTGTAAAATTTATTGTTCTTTAAGTTTAAAAGTTTTTAACAATCGTATCAATTGTGTGATGAATGCATTCGCTTGCAAAATTCTTAACACATCCTATAATAATTATTCATAAAACAGATGGAGCAGTTATTTCTATGGACCATATGGCCCGTAGGGACCGTATTTACCATACGGCCCATAGGGTCCGTGTTGGCCGTATGGTCCGTATTTACCGTACGGTCCGTAATATCCTTGATAGTCGTATTGTCCTTGATATGGACCTTGTTGATAGTCAGGTTCGCTGGGAGGTTTTGCTTGATTTATTAAAGGTGTCCAATACCAATGCCTAAAATCAACACAAGATTTCACAGGATCTAAGTAACCTTGTCCGTTAGGGCAGCGCTCTACTACTGCTGGTTTGCCCATTTCTACGCATTTCCAATAAAGGGTTTTATTGGTAATGAAGCGATAATATTTAACTTGTAATTCTTCGTCAGTTTTGCATCCAGGTTGCCCGTTGTAAGGTGGATAACCTTTACTTACGGCAATAAGTAGCATTAAAAAGATAATACAAACTTTTAATTTCATTGCTTAGTTGCTTTAGTTGAGTACTGTTTGAGTTTTGAATGTCAACTGATCTTAAGTATGAACGAGAATTTGTGAAAAATCATTATCAGTTTTATAGCCCTTCTTTACCATTCACCATAGTCAGGTGTATTAAATTCGTTATAAGGGTTAGTAAAAGAAAAAAATCGAAAACTAAGAAAGCAATTGCCAGATGTACACAGAGTAATAGCTTATACTCCTTGCATTAAGATAAAGAATATCTTCTTATCGATATTGATTTTTTTATATATAGCATCTCGTCTATTATTTATCAATCTTCTAAAAGATTGAAGGGTATCGAGATTCAGATTTAACTTAAATTATATTTTTTTTCAATTGTACATCTAATAAGAGATAAGAGAAGATCGAAAATAAACGTATAAAATATTAAAACTAGTTTGCCTGGCAATCATATGCAAATATCTTTAATTTAATCTAAGGCAATTGATAGCAGTGTTTACATCATGGAAAGAAACTGCAGTGTAATTTAAAAAGTTAAAGAAATTGTTTTGTAGAACTTTTTCGGAAACAATTTTTATTTTCAAAAAAAAAAAAAAAGAAGAAGAAGAACCTTTAGAAGAAATTAAAATAGTTTATCAGGAATCTTTATATTTAAGCTAATCTTTCATATAAAGTTTTCCCTTCTGTGCATTCATAGGCTCATCCAGCTATAGGTAAGCAGGATGGAATCATTTCTCTCTCTCAGAAATATGTCCTGATCTAAAATCGCTAGAGCTAAATGGAAGGTTATGTTTCTTTAATAAGTAAACCTAGGTCATATATATGTAGGTATATAGTCTCTAGAATCTTGAATTTCTAAAGCCTAGTTAATGTCAAATTTCAATTATGAATCAAACCTTCGATGCGTTGCTGTAATTAAACGGTTTAACTCGTTATCTACAATCTCTGGAGTAATCGTTGCCAAATGGTAGGTTATGTTCTTTTAATTAGTGAACTTAGGTCATATATATCTAGGTGTATAGACGCTAGGTTAAATTTCTAAAGCCTAGTTAAGTTTAGACTTAAATTTAAAAGGTAACTATAACAATTGAAGATAGTAAATACGATAGAATATATAATTATTAGCAAATTTTAAGTTGTATATTCCAGTATATTCCATTCGGGACACTCAAGAGCCCCCAGGCTTAGAGAAAGAAAAAATAAGTAATAATAATGCGGAATTTTCATGTAATACCACAGTTTGAAGTGCAAGGCATTCAACATTTACCTAGTTGCCTCTTACTTCCTGTTATTGTGATCTGCTTTTCATTTCATTCAGCAACGTAAAGCATTAAGGTTAAGTACTCTTGGAGACCATAAAATGAAAGCATTAATAAATTAAAATGCTATATAAGCAAAAACTATGAGTTATTCAATCTCCCACCTCCCTCCCCCGTCCCTATACTTTAATCTGTATAGAAGAAAACAACAGCTTAAAACGCTCAACGATTCGTACATATATATATATATAGAAAAGGTATGATGTGTCCCAAGAGTTTGGCAACAAACTTACCTTATTTTGCTGTAAACTATAAATATATGTGTACACCTATAGTAATGAAAGAGAAAGAAAGTAGAAAGAGAAGAGAACAAAATTGTTATTATGCTTAGAAAGTTTCATTTATATTTTACACAAACATTAACACGACCAAATAGTAAACAAAAATGTAGAAGAAGAAGAGCTGAATGAGAGGGATGAATTTGATTTTTGGAGCAACACTGCCAAGCCACAATGTAAGCTTCTAACAGAACTAATTAATTCAGAGCATTTGCTACTAGGCACATTTTCTTGTGTTTTTTTGGCTTTTTTTCTGGCAAACAACAACAAATTGTTAAACATTGTTTATTCCTCAGTAAAAGCTATCATTATTATGATCATAATACGTATATGTGTAAACAAATATAAACGTAACAATAATAACAAGAAGACGAAGAAGGGCTATATACCCCCCAAAAAAAAAAAAAAAAAAAAAGAAGGAAAGTATTATAAATTTCGTACTTGGCAAACGTAGTCAAAAACTAGATAAACTTGACATAACAGATATCCTATGAAAACTGTAGTACATAGCAACATAGAAGAAGAACACAGAAGAATTGGTTATGTGTACGAAGTTTATTGCATTGTTGTGTAGTCTTGGAAGATCTTCTTGCTATTGTACTCAGCTGTAATACCCTTAATACTATTACTGCTGCTTTCTGCGTGAGCGTAGCCCCGGCGAACTAATGCACGTAACCTACGACTTCAGAATGCTTGTGGTGTCATTAATCAATTCAATAGGTACCTGCGCCTGTTTACAGAAGATGAGGTGGCATATATGTCCACTTTCAAGAGCAATTCGATAATTGAAGGCAAGCGGAAAGTCTACGCTCTATTTTGCTGTGATGTCACTTTTGCTGCAGTTTTTCCTGATGCTACTACTATTACTACTACTACTGCTACTACTGCTACTAGCACTACTGCTACTACTACTACTACTACTACTACTACTACTACTGCTACTACTGCTATTATAAACTCTACTGGTAATTGCCGAGGTGTTCTACTGTACAGCGGCCTACGATCCTAAAGGCAAATCACTTTTGTAACGTATTATACTTTAGTTCGAGTTGGATGCTTTTTGGATCCTTATAAATTTTCATTTTCTCTTTCTCTCTCTATTCCCATTTGAAATTAGAACTATTCAGAATAGTTTGGTGTGCAGACTGTGTAGATATTGTTTTCAATGACAGATGTGTTAAAAATCGAACCTTCTAGAGTTATAGGAATGAAAGATGTTCGACTAAGCACTACTACTATTACTACTAGTACTATTGGTATTAATTGCTTCACTATTATAGTTCTAATTATAATACTACCGCATCTGGCAAAGATCTTCTCCCTCTCCTCCCATGGATGAAGCTTTAATATTTTATTTTTACCTGTTTTTTTAATGACCTAGGCATAGACCTTCCTTAAAAGGTAGATCACAAATAATATTTAAGGCATGCTTTTCAGTCTATCTTTTATTGCAATTGTTGTCTTTGTATGCATGTAAGAGCGTAATGTAATATGCAGTGTTTGTCAAAAACAGCGACTTAACATTAAAATTTATGCAAAAATTCGTCTATATACATACATCCATATAAACGAGAAGATGTTAAAAACGAATTTTCTGGTAAATATGTCTGTTTACGTTGTCTGCGTTACACAAATCCATAAGCAATGTTAACGGTCGTTAATCAGCTTTGGTTGGCCATTTGTAGCCTGCTTTTTCTCCGCAGAGTACTTACACTTGAATTATGGCTAAAATGTGGCAGTAAACCAGTACGTACTACATACATTACTCTTAAAATGTAAGGTGACAAGATGAAATCATGAAAAGCCAAGACCGCAAACCTAAAGGTGTATGCACATGTACATGCACATTAAGCTGCTGTTGCTTATGCCTTTTGCCCTCTTATTATAATGTATACGTATCAGCCTGCGCTCCTTATGCCTTATGCATTAAAGTGTGATTGTCCGTTCGTTTCCTTGCCATTGCTATTATTTGTTGTAATTCCTGCGTTGAAATTTTACTTAAATATTAGCCAAATTGCTTGGCATGCTAAAGAAAAGAATGTTTTTTTCTTTTCGTATAAATGAATATATGGAGCACATTATTACTTGTCAGATAATGGAGATTATGTGGGTGTGGTGTAGTATCTGAGGCATTGTTCTCGTATTATAGCTGTTGGTTGGTTAAACATAAAAAAAAATTTTTGCTTTTAACTCATAAATTTTCGTCTCTCTTTAAGTTTACATAAAGTCTTTTGTATTGAAGACCGCAGAAGAAGGAGAAGAGTTAAGCTGGATTTTATTAAATCATTATTTTTTTTTTAAGAAGAAAATTCTAAAATATGATACAATAGGATTAAATGTGCAGTTGATGAAGGATTTCTACAGAAATCTATATTGATCAACAGTTACAGTTGAAAGTTACAAAGATCTGATTTATGAAGATTCTCAAGGTTCTCTCTTCAAAGTTGCTTCCCTTTATCCAACTTTTCCTCAATATGGATTAAAGAAATATTTTTTTTTCATCATTGCATTGGAACCTACACCTATGAATTCTTTTATAATTTCTTTCAAAAATTGAGATGAATTTTTAAGAAAGCCGTACTAAGTCGTGGCTCTGATAGCATACACCCTTGCCTTCGGATTAACCGTACAATCCCGGACTACCCTTCTTCGAGATCTATTAGCATTAGGGTGTTACAAACGACATGGCGGGTGGTACCATGCTTTCGACTATTACTAAATCAACGTATTTTACGTAATCAGTTACCAGCTGGTTTGGTTAGTATTGCCTTCATAGCAATAGTTTACGAGAAAAGTGTACGTCTTCCTGTAATCCTAAGCCATCTTTCAGAAAACTTGTTATAGTTATATATAGGCCAAGCATTAACCTCTTCTTCGCCGGTCAAGACCGTTTCCAGGAAACACTACGAGGAGGTGAGAGTTTCGGCACATCTATGCTCCCCCAAGAACATAGTTTATCACCCCAACAGTATGAGCTCAAACAAGGTCTAATTTTATCAAGTTGGCTTAAGAATTATCTCAGCTGGGGTAGCGCTGGTCCGCATTACACGGTCGGAACTTTTTAACTCATATTTGTTCATGACTGTTCTACTATAGTTCTCCGGATTCTTGGTTCTCCAACTCCTATGTGAAATGTAAAACAATAAAATTTTACGTCCAATGCAAGTACCATTGTTTGATTAGCGTTAAAGTGAACTTTGCCTATCTGCCGTTTGAGAACATTTTTTTGCTAATTGCATGTTTATCGCTCAATCAAACTTACTAAATGCCTTGGTAATGAGAGTCACGTCGCGCATCAAATTTCCCTATGTTTCCAATATCGCCATAGAGTGATTGTCTAGCAAATTTTTCCAAAAGTTTCATTTAATTAAAACCACTGTAGGCATACAGATTTTCTGAAGCTTATGGTTGCTGTTATATCACAATTTGTGTAGGATATAAAAACTAAGCTAAGCATACGTTTTCAAAGAATATTAAGATCCTAGAGGT